CAGTAAACCAAACCCACTTGCGGCAGGTAAGGACAGCAAAGGCATTCTTAATAACATGTTTAAACGGAAACATTTGTTTTACAAAACTGACAACAAGAAACTTGCTGACAGTTTGTTTTTCTGACATTTAAAAAAAAAGTTTAGGTTTTGTCATCATCCTCTTTTATGACTCAAATCACTTGTTATGCAGATTACATATCACTGTTCTTGTCATTACAATCAGATGATCTCATGATCAAGCTTTAATCTCAGATATTTTTTTCCATGTGAAATTCACATAGATTTGGTACATCTCCCAGTAAAGCTCAAAGCTAAAACATATTTTATCTATTTCTAAATGTTGTACTCTCTGGTGAAAGAGGATTTGTGCTTTTTCATACATCAAGTTTCCTTTCACTGGGCTTACTCTGACCCCAGTCCTGCTGGACTGAACGCTGATTAGAACTGAAACCTCTTTTAAAAAACCAGCATCGGTGCATTATGGGTGTTACAGTGTTTATAGTGTAGAGGGGTTTGGCAACTCCAGACCTCCAGGGAAGGTGTTTTGCATGTTTTGCATGTATTCAGTCTTTCCCCACTTAGCCACAATTGGCTCAGTCATTAACAATTAACAGGCACCTCTAAAACTTGACATGATGGCATAATTTAATGATTTTAATCAAGTATTGAAGCAAATTGATTTCTAAAATGTCCTACTGTCCAACGTTAGGGATGAAACAGACCAACTTTTGGAGGATTACTCACCATCTGTCTTTGTTTCATGGGGTTTCCAAGGTCACAGATGACAACAACAGTCTGGTTCTCTTTCCTCTGAATGCACACCAGACGATTTGCACCCTAAAAAAAAAGAAAAACAGTTCCCAACTTAAGCACACCAAACATACCCCTCTGATTGGCTGCTTAAACTGCTCATCTCACCTGACTGCTTTGGAAGTGTGTGTGTTCCGGGATTTGGATCACTAGCTCAGTCTCATATGCACCTTCACCTTCGTTGATAGCCGACACTGACAGCAACACTGACTGATCATCTCCAACCAACACACTATCTGACACCCTATTCACACCAACGCATATCAACAAACATCATCACACACCATCAGACAGACAAAAACAACATGTCAGCAGGCAAATCCTTCAAGTACTGAGTGGTGGCAATGAAAAGCCCATTTCATCCCTGGCCCAAAGCATAAAGATGTAATCAGTTCTATAGCAGTTCCTTTTAAAGTTTGTAGGAAGCATTTCATTTAAAATATTATAAATATTTCATGTCAAAAAAGATATTTTAAAAAGCACGAGTTACTGACAATAAAACTGTAATTTTTATTGAGTGGTTTGGTGACCAATCGAAAAGAAACAAGCAATAGGAAAACCCTTTATACCTTTATTGTTTGAATCTTCAAAAAATATCTTAGTACTTTCTGGAGATAAAAGATGTCTATCTTTATATATGTACGTGACGAACTGGTGAGTGCAGTGCAGCTTCTGCAGAAAATATGGCCGTTTCTCATTATATGTACTTGTGCGTTCTCATGTGCTCGTGAAACGTCATCAGCCTCAGCCCTAGAGCTGTTCCAATTCACAAGAAAACAAGACAAAGAATGGAAAAAAGTTGCTGTTCTCGCCCCTCCCTCTTTACCCAGCATGCAACAGAACAGACTGTCCCTGTCTCTGCATGCATTGCAGTGAGAAGCAGCTTCCAGGTTAGCACTTGCAGAGTATTACGTTAAAAGATCTGTTTTCTGTTGATGTGCTTCTTTAAAAGTACGTTTTAAGATCATTTGAGGTGATATATTTAATATATTTTTAAGGGTCACTATATGGCCCATTTACTGATTTAGTGCGTAATTTAAAAAAAACTTCCGATGTTGACAGGCAATCAGCAGACCTCTGAGGCTAACCGCAGCCCGTCTGCAGCAGAGCCATGTGTATATTCCCACTGGCTATGATTAATGTTTTTTGTTTTGTTTTTTGGCAAAAATTTTATTTGATGTGTTTATCTGAAAGTATTAATCATTATAATAATGTATTATTATCTAGATCAGGGGTCACCAACCTTTTTAAGGCTGAGGGCCACTTCAAGAGTACCGAGACTTAGGAAGAGCGACCATTACTGACTCATGAGCTGCAAGGGTTTAGCCTGACGTAGTCCGACTCAATTCTAGTCAGAATGAGTCTGATGCTGCTCCATAGAGCTGTGATTATGGGGCGTGTTTTGAACGAACCAGGAAAATAAATGCCTCTGCACTCAATTGGATAGACCTACAACCAATAAGAGCAACGGAGTGCGTGACGTATGTTAAGCCACGCATAGTTGTTGTCAACAAAAATCAAAGCGTGCAGTTGCACGCCTAGAATAAGAAGATGAGCCTTGATCGCGTTTCTCTGTTCCTCTTTTAAAATTAATTTGCTGTCGATATCTTCTAGAACAGACCTAATCTACACACCTCAACTCTCCAGCGGCAGCCATTGTTGTTGTCACCCAAGCGTGCTTTGGTGACGTGGTTGATTACGTTACTGTTGATCATCTGTCCATCATCGTATAAAGCCCGCCCTGACAATTTGATTGGCCCGTCAGATATTGTGCGAGCATACTCGCGCTACTATTGAGCAATGCCAGACCGAACTTCCTGACCTCAAACGTTGTGGGCGGGACTACGTTCGGAATGAAACCAAGGCTAGCAAGGGTTAGCGTTAGCCTAAACTTTGTTCATTATCAACTTATTTTTATTGTTTCTGTTAAATAAGTTTATTTAGACATTGTCATTTTTGAAATCTCTATAAATGATTAAAAAAAGGAGCAACAGAATAGAATACAATTTCAAACTTAGCCCACTGGTGGGTTGTTCTTTATTTAGGAGACTCTGAGGGCCCCCCATGTGGTCCTTGAGGGCACCTTGGGGCCCACGGGCACCGCGTTGGTGACCCTTGATCTAGAGACTATTAATAACAGGAGGGGAAATGCAGCTCCAGATGAGTCAAGCGTGTGGTGACGTCACGAGTATGCTGCTGTTCCAATTGACCCATATTTATGCTGCGTTCTCCCCGAGTCCATACTTTCCTGTGTTCTTCTCAAGAACATACTTGGCCAGGGTACAAGTCTGTACTGGCGTTCTTGTGAATTGAGAAACGGCCTATGTTGAAATTATGCTCTAGTTTTAACTTTTCAACCGGCAGTTTAGATAATATTTGTATGATTTAAACATCCCCATTTCCTTTGGTTTTATTTTACTTCCTGCTGTTCTGTTTTCTGTGGCATCTTTATGCTTGTACTTTTTAGCTTCCTGTTTTTAATGTTTTTATCTGCCTGTACAGTGTCCTTGGGTGTTGTGATAAGGCGCTTTCAAATAAAATGTATTATTATTATTATCCTCACTGTCATTATAAAGTACTTGAAGTGATATTTCATTAATCTGGTTGCACTATTCATTAATATTATTTCCTTCCATGATACATTCGTGACCATAGATCAGTGACATAAGTAATGCAGTTTCGGAGAATCAGTCATCCATAAATAAACAATTATAATAATAATGACAGTTACATCGTCATGTTGACTCACGGTTTAACTCTCAGCTTCAGGTCGGGGATACAAACATTATCATCACCGCATTCCAGAATAAGCCGACTCTATAACACAAACACACTGTGGTTATTTCCATGTGCACTAAAACTCTGATCCTGGGTTCAGCTCCAGCTCGGCCTGAATATAGGCTGGTTCACCTGGACTGTTGAGTGCGTCTGTCCATGCAGCAGAGCATTTTTGGTCGAGTTTACAAGGCTTATCTCAGCAGTGATGAAGATTGGACTCAGTTTGTCACGAATCTCCTCTTCAGACTGAAAACGAACAAACAAGAGATGTATAGTTTTCTGTTTATCAAGTTTCATCCGAGTTCATTCCAAATACCTCAAATCGGTAGTGACACTTAAGCTACAGTGGAAGTGCATAGGAAGTTAGCATGATAAGTTTTATCCAGATATTGCTAGCAGTAAGGAAGGACCTAAGGTAAGGAAGCAGGATGTCTCCTTGTGCCAGTGCAGACTGACAGTGATATATTAACAAGAGAGTTTATTAACGTAATGTGCGGCTGCTCATTTGCTGCGGTGGGCTTACTGAAAATCTGTCAAAGTTCAGTGTGTACCCAGAGGAAAGAGAATTGTCCAGAGGAGCGGACTTTCTATGCTTTTTATTGAGCCGGCACCGGAGATCCAGGAGAGAAGAGAAGCAGCATCAACCCAAAGATCCAGAAAGGTAATCCAAGCCATGGTCAGAAGACAGGTCCAAGGTCGGCACCAGGCAGAATCCAGGTAATAGTCCAGAAAGAACAGAACACGTTCAAGAGAGCACACCGGGGGCGGTTGAAAGCCCAGAGGTCCGTAAGCAGAAAAACAGATGCGGAACCGACAGAACTAAACAAAGGGAACGTTAGGGTAAGTCTCGCTAGGAAGCTTGAATAATCTTTCACCAAAGCCTGGGGCCCAGAAGCTTAAATACCAGCAGGAACAGGTGGATGTGATAAGAGCAAAAAGGCAAAAAAAAAAAAAAACAACCTAAAGGTGCCAAGATCTTTACAGCTTCAGCTACTAATTACATTTCTGTAACTTTTGTTTTTTGTAGCTCTTCTCAAAAAGGCTTCGGTCCTAATTTAAGTAGAATCTTTTAAGTGCATGTCTACAATGTTATGATGTCCATACAACTGAAGGCTGTCTGAATTTAGCACAGCAGGCGGGAGCTTCTTTTCCTGCCTGTAGGTGTTCTTAATTTTGCAACCCCACGAGGTGTCAGGATAGGAGCAAGAAACAGGAGGTAGGAGCTACAGCTTGAGGTATTCGGAAGGAACAAATTTCTCCACAATCTTAAAATGATCTTTTCACTCACCCTCAGATAGGCTGTATGATTGGTACAGGCCCAGCCCACCTGTCTTTCAACAACCAGTTGCATTATCTCATGTGGCTGATTGGTCAAAAGCAGTAGAGTTCTTCGTCCCATCGGCTGCTTCATTGTGTCAAGCTGTAGCTCCACCCTAAGATCTACAACAGCCAATCACCAAAAGACAGAAAAATGATTACTGATATCAAGATGTTCTGTTATTCCCCTAATGAACCCCTCACCCTTACCCGTCTGCTTAGGGATTTTGTGACCAGATACATGGATGCATATTCGAACATCAAAACTGAGAAAATGCAAAAAGAAAAGAAATGCAGATTTTATTCTTCTCTGTAAAACAACACCAAAAAGACAGTCCTGATGTATAAGAATATGTAGATGATATAAAGCCCTTTAAATTTGAGGGTTTTAATATATATAATTATGAGTTTTTTTGGTCAGGTTAATGAAAACTCACAAAAAGCTGCTTAGTTACCATGAGACAGGAGTGTTTCTGTGATGACACAGTTTAACTTCTGGATTTAAAAAGTCTGGCTGCAAATACACCGAAACTCTGGACCGGATCACAGCCTGAGACCTAAAAGCACAAAACCAGTATTTAATGACGTTATGTGTTCATGTTTATGGTTCTGAAACAGCTACACTGAAGGCCATTTTTAAAAAGTAAAAAAAAAAAATGGTTTAACAATAGTTGTGGAGCCACCACCTCCATGGAAAACATGGGGGATTGGTGGTAAGAGCTTTGGGCAGCAGTCAGAGGTGGAGGCCTACACCACCTGATTCATTGATGATTTAACTGGGTGTGGTTTGCCTCCCTCCTGGGAATTCCACAAGTCATATGGGGGACTTCAACACCCATGTGGAAAAAAACAGCGACATCTGGAGATACATGAGGATGAACAGACCCACAGCTCTGAATCAGAGTGTTGCTTTATAATTGGACTGCTGTGCAAGTTTTGAATTGTGCTCAATGTTGGGCTAAACAATGTCCATTGGTACACTTGTCACCAGGACATCCTAAGCAGGAGGTAGATGATCAACTTGGGGCTTGTGATGAGAGAGGTGATGGTGAGCTTTATATGCTGGAAGAGGAGAAAGTCGGACAGACTCTGTGAGTCCAGGCTCACAGAGTCTGTCATCCTCCAGTGGTGAGGATCTGCTGTGGACATGATGGAGCCATCTGTCAGGGACGTATTCAACTACAACTAATCCAACCATTAGAGCTTGGTTGGGGATATGGAGTCTGCATGAGCAATGTTTGATGCCTCTATTGTCAATGTTGGTGGCCCATAAAGGTCTGCTGTGCCAGCAGGATATCCTCCACCTGGCTTACAACCCTTCCGTGATTGAGGAAGAGACAGGGTGCTCAGGCCCAGATTCGTTTATACCCTCACTGAAGTCACCGAAGGCATAGGCAATTTTTAGGTGTTTCAGCTGTCTAAAAATGCAAAAAAATGAAGCTCTTTTTAGATACAAACTGTTGGTCGCGCCTCACCTGTAGAGAAAGGCTCGATCTGCACCCCACGCACCAACTAGCAGATCTACAAATCCAGGAAACAGAAAGCCTCTGGTTATTGATTTGTGATTATTCATTAAAGAACTTGAGTTCCTGAAACTTACCTGGGTATCCATTCCCATCAAGGTCACCACCTGACCTTAGGGAAAATCCAAATGCTGATCCGTTGCTAAGCAATGGGCTTTCAATCACCTGTGAGGGTATGGCTGACAGACCATTCCTGTTCCCCAGGTAAATAAACACCTGCCCCCTCTTACCATCACCTGACCATGGAGCCCCAACAGCAACATCTGAACAGAGTGAGATAACATTAGATTAATAACCTGCAGAAAAATGGTTACTAATGCAGAGAGTGAGGATATCTGGCTACCTTGGTAACCATCCATGTCCAGGTCACCTAGCACAGTAAGGGCAGAGCCAAACCTGCCATAAAGAGACCGACCAGTCAGTGACTGGTCTGGCAGGGAGGGGAAGGTGGCCTGCTTCCTCTGCAGGTGTAAAAGCACCTGAACACAGAAACATGCTCATTCATTCTTCATGCTCTATGTTCATTTCCTCTGGAAAAAAAACACCTTTATTTGTGGAAGTTGTAGCTTGGCCTGTTTTTTTTTAGTGTAGTCCTGGTTCTCTGACCATGAATAACTGGATGTGCTCTCTTTCATCCTCTGACTGGCTGTGAATTTCCTGGAAGGGGCCGCCTGTGGAGCTGGTTGACAGTTGTGTTTTGTGTCACTGGTTCTTTTTCTATGTCTGCCTCTGTCTCCTTGAACCCCTGTTGGCCTCGGCAGATGGCCACCAACACTGATTCTGCTGGAGGTTTCTTCCTGGTAAAAGGGAGTTTTTCCTCTCCACTGTCGCTACAAGCATGCTTGGTGTATGGGATTGCATTCGAGTCAATGAGTGGGTGCAATCAACTGGTTTTCCTTAGATAGAAAATGTTGAACCACTCTTACGGTATAATCTGTTGGAATTGGCTCTTTAAGGTGCCTTGAGAATACATGTTGTGAAATGGCGCTATATAAATCAACTGAATTGACTATTTTTATTGTTGGAGTTATTATGATTTCTGTTGTTTTTTTTATCAATTTATTCATTTATATCTTTTATATTGCTTTTAATCATTTGTTTTGCTATGTTACTCTCATCAGTGGAAATAGCGTATGCAGGTCATAAGACGGTCAAAACTGTTGCAAGAATGCTTTCCTGTTTTTCATTTAAGAAACACAGAAGTTAAAAATTCATGACCCCCGACACCTTTTTTAAAAGCGTATACTGAAACCAGACATATTCCCTATCTTAAAAGTTCATGCTATGTCTAAGAGATTGCGTAATACAAACTAACACCTGCTGTTGTAATGTGTTGACTGTTCAATAAATAAGCCTGCAAGCGTAGAGCAAGACGAAGATGCACAGAGTAATCCCAAAGCTCTGTGTATTTTACCTTTGCAAAGCACGGTCAGGAAAAATCTTACACTGTGGACCCATAATATATGGGCAACATAACCTGGCTTTGGGCACATTGAAAGTCTCTTTACTGGTGGAAAAGGAGCCATAATGGGTGTTTAAAGCTGACATACCAGATTGCACTCGCCACCACAAAGAGCTTTATTTTCTTCTCATGCACAGGAATTTCAGCTACTCTTCCAGCTATAGAGGAACAACTTTTCCAGATTATGTATTTCTGTTGCATGTAATGTTGCCATTGACATAGTAGTAGGTGCTTTACTTGTTGTAATATGGCCCCCGTTTTGGTCTGAGATGGAAATTAAGATCTGAGCCAAAAAGCACAAACTCTCGATTTATGGATCAACCTGCATTCCAACCTACACCAAAGGTGATGTGATAAGG